CTCATTTTAATATGTAGTGACTTAATTTAAAGTTCCCTGATGATTAATGACGATATCAAGCATTGTTTCACATGCTTTTGCATATGTACATCTTCAGTGAATTATCTGTGTTTTTTATTTGTCACTTTTTTGATGTTTTAAATTGAATTGTTACATTGTAAGGACTGTTTATTACTATATGGTTTTGTGGGGTTTTTTTGGTTTTTTGTTTTTTTTTCTTTTATTATTCACATGTACATACAAGGCTTGAGTCATTTCTCCCCCCTGCCCCACCCCTCCCCTACCACCCACTACCCCCTCCCTCTGCCCCCCACCTCAATACCCAGCAGAAACTATTTTGCCCTTATTTCTAATTTTGTTGTAGAGAGAGTATAAGCAATAATAGGAAGGAACAAGGGTTTTTGCTGGTTGAGATAAGGATAGCTATACAGGGCATTGACTCACATTGATTTCCTGTGCGTGTGTGTTACCTTCTAGTTAAATTCTTTTTTTACGACCTTTTCTCTAGTTCCTGGTCCCCTTTTCCTATTGGCCTCAGTTGCTTTAAGGTATCTGCTTTAGTTTCTCTGCATTAAGGGCAACAAATGCTAGCTAGTTTTTTAGGTGTCTTACCTATCCTCACCCCTCCCTTGTGTGCTCTCGCTTTTTATCATGTTGCTCATCAGTCCAATCCCCTTGTTGTGTGTTTTGCCCTTGATCTAATGTCCACATATGCGGGAGAACATACGATTTTTGGTTTTTGGCAGGCTAATCACTCAGAATGATGTTTCCCAATTCCATCCATCTTACCAGCGAATGATAACATTTCGTTTCTTCTTCATGGCTGCATAAAATTCCATTGTGTATAGATACCACATTTTCTTAATCCATTCGTCAGTGTTGGGGCATCTTGGCTGTTTCCATAACTTGGCTATTGTGAATAGTGCAGCAATAAACATGGGTGTGCAGGTGCCTCTGGAGTAACCTGTGTACAGTCTTTGGGTATATCCCCAAGAGTGGTATTGCTGGATCAAATGGTAGAGTAAGATGTGTAGCTTTTTAAGTAGCCCCAAATTTTTTCAGAGTTGGGTTGTACTAGTTTACATTCTGTGGGTTTTTTTTTTTGATGTTAGTGGGGGTTCGAATTCAAGAGCCTCGAGACTTGCTAGGCATACGCCCTATCATTTGAGTCATTCTGCCAGCCAAGTATTTAAGTTTTATCAGAGAGGGTTTTTTTTTTTTTTTGTATTGTTTTGTTTACTTTTTAATCAAAGACATGGTTTACAATTTTTTTTTTTTTTTACATTTTGTGACTGGTCTTTTTTTATTTTCTTGACAGTACCTTTTGTAGAGCAAAGAGTTTTAACATTTGATGTTCAGTACTCAGATTTTTTCTTTTATGAATTAAACATTCTGTTGTGAATTCATTCTTTCTTATTTTGGGTTGCTAATATCTTGTATAGTATTTTATCAGGAATCCTTGGGACCAGAAATGTTTCAGATTATGGATTTTTAAAAATTTTTGGAATATTTGCTTATACATATTGAGATATTTTAAGGATTGGCCCCAAGTCTGAGTACTAAAGCTCATTTATTTCATATACAATTTACCAGCAGAGCCTAGAGGTAATTTTTACTGTGCCTGCATTTTGATTGTAACTCATCACATGAGGTCAAATTTGGAATTTCCAACTTGTAATCTCAAGTTAGTGCTCAAAAAGTTTCAAGTTTTGGATTTTCAGATTAAGGCTATTCAACCTACATATTGAAATATCGTTGATTTTTGTGTATTCATATTTTTTCCTGCAGTCTTTTTTGGTGGTACTGGGGTATGAACTCAGGGTCTTATGCTTACTTGGCAGGCCCTCTATCACTTGAGCTATACCCCCACCACTTTTTTTTTTGCTTTAGTTGTTTTTTGGATAGGGTCTCATGTTTTTACCCAGGGCTGACCTGGGACCACATAAGATTTTTTACATTGATGATCATATCAATCTGTGAATAAAAGCTGTTTTAATTCTTCCTTTCTAACACACGTGTCTTCAGTTTCTTTTACATAATACACTGCCAGTATCTAGAATAATGTTTTGTAGTAATAAGAATGGACATCCTTGCCTTATTTCTGTCCAGAGGGAAAACATTTTAGTATTTTACAAAGTAGGGTAGTAGATGTGTTGTTTTTTTTAATTTTCTGATGTTAAACCAATCTTGTATTCCTGGAATAAACTTGATTGCTTTATGGCAGGTGATTGTATGTATTTGTTACCTCTTTCAGATTGCTAATATGTGGTTCAGGTCTTTTTTATCTTTTTTTGATGGGACTGGGGTTTGAACTCAGGACTTCATCCTTTCAAAGGAAGCTCCCTACCATTTGAACCATACCTCCAGTTCCCTTTTTATGTCCTCATGTAGTTGGTACTTTTCTTATAAGATCTTTACCTGCTTTGTTATCAGGGTGATACTAATTTTATAAAATAAGCTAGGAGGTGTTTTCTGTTTTCTGAAATAATTTGTATAGGTTTGGTAGTTTTTAAATGTGTGATAGAATGCACTAATGATGCCATCTGAGCTTAGGCTTTTCATTGTGGAAAAAATTTTAATTCCTAATTCAATTTTGGTAATCTGTATCTACCTAAAAAAATTGAGGATGGATTTTAGGTTAATTGATCTTAGGTAATTCATCATCCATAATGTAAGCATTTAAAGCTCTAACTTTCTCTCTTAATACTGCTTAAGATGCATCATATATATGTATAGTTTTGTTTGTTTGGTTGGGTTTTTTTTGGTGGTGCTGGGGCTTTAACTCAGGGACTCACACTTTTTAGGCAGGCGCTCAGCCACTTGAGCCATTCCGCCATCCTTCTCATAATTTTTGTTAATACTGTGTTTCATTTTCATTCATTTCATTTTTTAGTTTCTCTTCTGGTTTCCTCTTAGGCTGTTTATTTTTCAAATAATTGGTGATTTTTCCATATACTTTTTTTTTTCCTTCTAATTTAATTTGAGGAAATCCCCAGCAGTTTAATTTAGTGATTCATATGGCTGGATTTACATTTGTTTTTTGTTGTGGTGGTTATATTAGTATATGTCTGTGTCTCTTTTATCTTTTACTGCTTTCTTTTGTGTTTAACCTTTTTCTTTCATTGTACCCTTTCAATTCCCTTTAATTGATAGCTTTATTTACGTGAGTTATCGTTTGTAGTATTTAGTCTAGGGCTTATACTATGCATGTTTATATCACGATCAAAATTTCTGTAAAATACTGGATTGAAACCTTGTATTTTCCTCCCAATTTTTATTCCATTTAATAATGTCATACATATTTCAACTATATATGCTATACACCCAGTAATACAGGGTTATATTATTGCTTTATGTTTTAAAAAAATTAACTGAGTAAAAGTCTCATATACCCATAAATATACATGTATATATGCATTCATAGTCTGAATTCTTTAATTCCGTGGTCTTGTTTCCTTTCAACATGATGGATTATTTTTAGGAATATTTCTTGTAGGTAGTATATTTCTTTGATAACAATGAATTTTCTCAGCTTTAATTTGGAAATTTCTTTGTTTTTGTTTTGAAAAGATAGGGTCAATGGATACAGAATGCTTGGTTGGTAGGCTTTTTTTCTTTCAATTCTGTCTGCTTCATTGTTTCTCATGAGTAATAAGCCTTCATTATGGTGTTCTCTTCTGTGTGTTGAGTTGTTTTTCTGTTGATGCTTTTCAAAGATTTTGTCTTGGTAAATTCAGTAGTTTAATTATAATGGTTCTAAGTGTGGTTTTCTTGTTTGGGTTTGCTGAGGTTTCTGTATCTGTTTAATATTTTTAAGGAAAATATTTAAAATTTTTAAAAATTCATTTATTCATATGTGCATACATTGTTTGGGCCACTTCTCCCCCCTGCCTTAATGTTAGTTTTTAAAAGTACTTTTTTAGTGCCTCGTTCCAATTTTAGATAGTCCCACGGATCTCTCACAATGTTTCTTTCCTTAGATTTGATGTTTTCTGTTGATTTATCTTCAGGTCATTGACCCATTTACTTTTAGTTCTTAGCACACTGCTTCCTACTTGTTAGTGGTCTGTATATGTATAAACTACCAGGCAGAGGCCCTGGACTTTCAGTAGAACCACAGGTTTTTCTTGCAAGAAATAGGGTAACCACTAGTAATTTATTGGTATTAATAACAAAATTGTATTAACTCCATGTGACCAGAGTTAAAATTAAAATGTTCTTGATCATTTAGGCAACTATTTCCTAGATAAATAATGATAATTATTAGCATAATAGTTTTTCTGTAGTAAATAGGTTAAAGTATGAATGTTCTACAAAGTTAACATTTAAGATAAATAATTAGCAGAAATTTGGACATAATTTAAATTTTAATAGATTTCTAAAACGCATATCATTTAAAGCAGTTTTATAATTATTGTCACTTGTTTTCACATTTTTAGGTATGCCATTGCATTGGCCTTAAGGGAAAAACAGCGTGTAATATTTACCAGCCCAATTAAGGCTCTGAGTAACCAGAAATACCGTGAAATGTATGAAGAATTTCAAGATGTTGGTCTGATGACTGGAGATGTTACTATTAATCCTACAGCATCTTGTCTTGTTATGACTACAGAGGTAATTTATATAATGCCACATCTAACCATCTAACTTCTCCCCCCCCCTTTTTTTTTTTTTTTTTTTTTTTTTGTCTGCACAAAGGCTTGAACTCAGGGCCTCATGCTTCCTAGGCAGGCGCTCTACTACTTGAGCCACTCCGCCAGCCCTAAGTTTTCCTTTTTAATTTAATTAATGTTTAATTAATGTATCTATTCAATTAAAACTTTTATTGCTTGCTGTTTTTAAATAAAATTTAATACTTAATTTTGTGAGATTTGTTTGAAATGAATGCAGTTTATCTAAAATGTCTTAGTAACAGATATATTTCTAAATTACTAATATTTTTTAATCATAATATACAGGTAATTTTTTCCAAGTATATTTGAAGATTTATATCTCATGCAAACATTTTGTTGTTTTTTTTGTATGCACAGTTTCAAGCATTTGATTGCATAGTTTCATATGAGTACTGACTTTATTCCATATGATTTTTTTTCCATATCTGAGTATTGATTGTATGTTTAGTAATCAACTTTCTAAAAAATGGAATATTATATTTAGCTTCTTCCCCAATTTCAGTAAGTTTTACATAGACTTATTACACCTTATGTTGTAGCCCTGATTAACTGTCTTTACTGTACTAAGTACTATTATACATCCTGTAAAAATATCCTTTCATTTTATAAAGATACAGTACAATAGGGAACTTAGATTAGCTTCTGGACTGGAGAATTAGCCAAAGATACTTACTACTCTCTTTTCATTTTGGTGCCCAATATAAGTTTAGTCTGTGCTCAAAACTTTTCCATCTGTAGATTTTCTTTTACTCCAAAAATCAAGAGAATGTTCGCTACAGAAGTATTCCTATTGTGAGGAGGTGAAGTAGAAAAAAATGGGTAAACAATGCAGGATCCTGTGTCTTGCACAAATGATAGTTTAAATTCTTCTTTCCTCCTAGGAAGTATGGGTCTTAGGAGTGTGCTGTGCGTAGAAGGAAGTGGTTTCCTTGCTGGAAGAATACTAGTTTTTATCTACTTGTTGGATGTAATAATGTTATGGTTATGTCAAAATTGTGCTTAGTCTTTTTTTTTTTTTTTCCCTTTAGATTTTGAGAAGTATGCTGTATAGAGGTTCTGAAGTTATGCGAGAAGTTGCTTGGGTCATATTTGATGAAATTCATTACATGAGAGATTCAGGTATGTTCTTCAGTGTTGAAAATGGCATTAGGAATTTTGAAGAAGTTGTTGAATTATGCTATCAATTTTCATGTGCTTAGAATTCTAGTAAGCTATGTCTTTAGTAAGTTGTGGACAACATGGTTAAATAGATTCCAGTACAACTTCATTAAAGTATTGCTCTTTAGTAGTAATTTTTTTTTGGTTGAAAATGCAAAATAAAGCAAATGTAATTAAAAATTAGCTTGATTTTAATAGAAAGCTCTTTATTACAACTAATGCTAAATAATTTCTAAAACTTCTTACAAAGTTAACATTCTCAACTTTCATTAGGTTTAGTTTGTAAAATGCATGTTGTAAATAAAGTGGGCATTATGAAATAAAATAAAAATAAAAAGCATAAATAGACATTACTCAGGCTGTGACACTACTGTAATGGAGAAGCAAAATGGAATTTTGGGGTGCTAGGAGAGCTGACATTAACAATCACATTTAAAAGAGTATTTAATATATACACATTTAAAGTAAGATTTAGTTTTTATTAGTGCTCCACTAGCCTATTTTCATAAAAACTGACTTAAAGTTCTCTTGTTCATAAAATCTTTCATCTACCTCAGAGGATCATGGGTGAAATTTGGATGAAAGATGCCATATGAACTAGAAATAGTGTATATTCCAAATTTGTTCTGTAACTTTCTATAAGCCATTAACCTCTGCTTTTCCAAGTAAGGTAGAAATACTATTCCCCTTCCCTGTCATTGGGGTTCTTGTTTCTGGTTGAAAGGATACAGTCTGGAACTGCTGTTTGCAGGCTGTTTCAGACTACATTATGCTTGTGGTGGTTTAGTGTACTAACTTTCTACTCCATACGCTCATGATGAGAACTAAAGTAGTTTCTGGCGAGGGTCTGTGTCTAAAAATATGCTTGTGTGCAGTGGTCTGCGTTTTTAACAACATAGCTTTTTTTAAATTTAATTTTAATTACTTAGCTCATCTAAAATATGATAGATACTGTCACTAGAATGACACTGAATTCCCACGTATATTTATATTTCAGAGCGTGGTGTAGTATGGGAAGAGACTATTATTTTGCTTCCTGATAATGTTCACTACGTCTTTCTTTCGGCTACTATTCCAAATGCCCGGCAGTTTGCTGAATGGATTTGTCATTTACATAAACAGGTATTTTCTTACTCTTTTGATGACTTCATTATTTAAGAATGTTACAGATTGGCTTACCATATCCTTGCTATACTTTTTTCTCTAATACCATTAAGGATAAGGAAAACATTTTACTATGAAATTACTTCTTAGATGAAGCAGCTTATCACAGTCAACTATCTTGAAATTTCAGACCCGTAGCTCAAATCCAGCATAATGAGGCAATAGGCCTTGGAAACTCCAATTTTAAAACTTTCCAAGTTAATCCTGATGATCTGCGAAGTTTAGAAATTACTGCATTTACTCTGGCAGTGAGCCATGAATACACAATAATGTCCTCTATGGCCTTGGTATCAGGAAAAGCTAATCATGTCTTGAGCATTTTGTTTGATACATCTGGTGTAGCCCTATCATACTTTTTGGTGACTGTGTTTCCATTTTGCTTTTCTAGTACAGCTTTAGCATCTGTGCAAGACTTTGTAACAAACATTTGTTTATATGTACTGAACTTATTCTTAGTTTTGGTTTTCAACCCTTGTTTTACACCAATATCCTGGTGGAAATTATTTTTCTGTTTATGAGCTTTCAATAGTGTGTTTGTGGCATTCCCCTTCCCTTATGTTGCATCTGTAGGATAGACATTCAGTGGGTCTGCTGGAGAAGCGAGGTCAACTTATTGCTTTAGCAAGGTTTTGAGCAGCCTTTGTGGGATAGAAAAGTTCATTTTTACCTCGGATCCTTTTTGAATGTTTAAATCATAATTTTATCTCCCCAACATTTTTTTGGGGGGGGTATGTCGAATATTAGTTCTCTTTTTAATAAATAAAATTTTATATTTGTTTAATTGTATTTGTTGTAATAATGTTTAATTATATTTATTTTATTTTATGTTTTAATTATTTCTTTTTACAGCCTTGTCATGTAATTTACACAGATTATCGGCCTACTCCATTGCAACACTACATTTTTCCAGCAGGGGGAGATGGCCTTCACCTTGTGGTTGATGAAAATGTAAGGACTCAATCTTACATCAGTAATGCCATACTTTATTATTTATATCTTGGTTTCCTTTAATTTTGTACTGGAAAAAAAGGCAGAGATCCGCCCCTTTCATTACTAGGGACGTAGTGCAGGTTCTGTACAATGGGTGTGTTTCAGAAAGCACTGATATTGGCATGGGCTGGCTAATAGGTTGGGGGAAAAGAATGTGTGGAGTGTGTGTGTGTGTGTGTGTGTGTGTGTGTGTCCCTTTTTTTTTTTTTTTTTTTTTTTTTTTAATTCCAGACTTCTGGGTTCTTTAGAAAAGGACAGAGAATTCAGACTTTACTTTTCTTAGCCGTACTTGGGCTAGAACTCAGGGCCTCACACTTGCTAAGCACATACTGTACCACTTGAGCTACTCTGCCAGCCCAAGAGATCAGCCTTTTTTTTGTCTCAGGTAGTTTCACAACCAAAATTGAGTTTTGAAAATATATTTTTATTTCACAAATTATATTTGATACTGGGTATGGTGATATCCAACTGTTTTCTCATTTATTTGAGAATCTGAGCCAGAAGGATCGCTTGATCTCCTGAGTTTGAAATCTGTCTGGGTAACATAGTATGATCCTGGGTTAAAAAAAAAAATAGATAAAATGATATTTGAGATTCGTTTTTCCTATGCATGAATTTACTTGTATTTCTTACTCAATATTCTTACTCAATATTTAAAAATGCATAAAAAATCAGAATAAAGTGTCTGGTAGATACCTTATGCTTTGCTTTTCCCAGTTTTAGCCGTCCTTTATCACATTTTGATACCTCTCACCAGAGATCATTTTTTAATTATTTTGGTGTCATTTGTTGGAATTATTTTATTAAATTATTTTCATTATTCAAGGAAGCTGTTCAAGTATGAAAAATTTTTGAGTTTTGTTTTATGGTTAAATATTTGTGAAGTTACATAGAAAAAAATTATTCCAGGGTGACTTCAGAGAAGATAACTTTAATACTGCAATGCAAGTGCTTCGAGATGCAGGTGATTTAGCAAAAGGAGACCAGAAGGGGCGGAAGGGAGGAACCAAAGGTCATTTGGGAATTTTAAATATATTCACAAGAAATTAACTGCACCATTAGCACAGCCAACTTTTTATAAAGGTTACCTACCATGAAATTCACTGTTTTTAAATCTATACCTTGATTGTTTTTAGTATATTTGTAGACATGTGCAATCAACACCAGTACTTAATTCTAAAACATTTTCAACAGCTCCCCTAAAAAAACCCATAGCCTGTCTTTTTTCCTCCTCACTTCACAGACTTCAGGCAATCACTAATCTACTTTCTTTCTCTATGGATTTGCTTTTTCTGGATATTTCATATAAATAGAATTATGTGTGGTCTTCTGTGACTGGGTTTTTTCACTTTTTGTTCTTATATTTTATCCCTGTTACACTGCATATCAGTACTTCAGTACTTTTCATGGTGAAATAACATTCCATTGTAAGGATAGACCACCATATCTCCATTCACCAGTGAATGGTCATTTGGGATTACAATTCTTGACTGTTACAAGTAATGCTGCTACAAACATTCATGTATGTACAAATTTTTTGTGGGAATATGTGTTTTCTTTTTATCCTGGGTAAGTACCTAGGAGTAGAATTGCGGAGTTATGGAGAGTCTGTGGTTAACCTTTTAAGGCTTACTAAATTATTTTCCAAAAGTGCCTACACCATTTTATATTCCCATGAGGAATGTATGAGGGTTCCATTTTCTTCACTCTTTACCAGTGCTTATTAGGTGTCTGTTTCATGTGTAGTGATATCTCAAAGTGGTTTTCATTTACATCGCTCTAGTGGCTAGTGAGGTTGAACATCTTTTCATGTGCTTGTTGGCCATTTATATATCTTTGTAGAAATGTCTTTTCAAATTGAATTGTTTATCTTTGTTGAGTAGTAAATTTTCTTGTATTTTGAATACTAGCCTTTATCAGATAGATTACTTGTGGTGCTATTTTCTCTTGCTGTGAATTTTTTTTTCCAGTTACTGATAATGTGCATTAAGGCACAAGAGTTTTTCATTTTGATGAAATCCAATTTTACTTGTGTTTTTCACTTCTGTTGCTTTTGCTTTGGGTGTCATAGCCAAGAATGCTTTGTCTAACTTAAAATCATGAAGATTTTATCCTCTGTTTTATTTGAAGAGTTTTAAGAGTTTAGCTTTTACATTTAGGTCTATTAAATATTTTTAAGTTAACTTTTTTGTTTGGTTTATCTATTCTTTTTGCAGGACCATCAAATGTGTTCAAGATTGTTAAAATGATTATGGAAAGAAATTTTCAACCTGTAATTATTTTCAGTTTTAGTAAAAAAGATTGTGAAGCTTATGCTCTTCAAATGAAAAATTAGATTTCAACACAGGTATTACATAATTTCTATATAGTTTTAATATTACATGTAAATGAGTGTAAAGTATATTTCTTGTAATGTATCTGTGTATTTCTAAGATAGGCAACTCATCTACTGTTACAATAGTATAGGTACTCATCACCTTTGTAAAAATTTAAGAAGTGTTTGAGTTAATAATTTTTGTTCTCCTTTTCTCTCCTCTCCTGTGCCCTCCTCTCCTCTCCCCTCCCCCCCTCTTTTGTGTGTGAATGCGTGGGGGGGGCATGGGGGGGGTGTGCTTGAACCCAGGGCCTAGCACTGTACTACTGAGCTCTGTCTCCAGCCCTCTCTTCAACTGTGTTAAATCCAGAGAACTGCCAAGAAACAGTAGAATCATGCTTTTGTACTTCATTATCATAAACTCAGTTATTGTGGTTCTCTGCCTCCTTAAGGGTAGGTCTTTTGGTTAGAGTATCTTCTCTTGAAAGTATTGTGCTTTATAGAAATGAACACAACTTTAAGTTTGGCTTTTAGACCTGTCTGTAGTGTAAACATACTGAAATTCTCAAAGTAATAAAACTTCTTGCAAATATACATGCACTCTAAATGTACCTCACTTAAAGTCACACTGCTAGATTAGTAGCACAGCCTAGCTAGTAATTGTGGTATACAGGATACCAACCCACCTGTTACTCAGTTCTGTTCATTATATATGTAATCCTCTATAGTGAGAAGTAAATGAAATATCTTTTAATCATACAAAGTCAGACAGATTTCAATTGTAGCAAGGTATGGTACATGCTTGTAATTCTAGCTCTTAGGTGGTAAAGGCAGGAGGATCATGAGTTTGAGGCCAGCTTTGGCTACCTTGTCTCAAAAGACAAATGAATAAATTAGAAAATGGGTTTTATTGTTTTCTTTATCAAGGGTGTTATTTTCTTTATGTATTTTAAAGCTAATTATTTTCCCTGAGTAAATGTAAAATGGCAGATAACCTACGTAGTTTCTTAAAGGCAATAATACTTTATGTTTTTGGAGTGAATTGCTCTACTTATAATTGTTTTCTTTCTTTCTCCTTTCCCTTCCCTTTTTTCTTTCCTTTTAACTACCAGTGCTGAATATTCCTAAAGTTTCAGGGTTCTATATTTATTACTTAAAGCATTTTTTGAGTGCCTATTTTTATTTTTTTAAAACTGGGGTTGGAACTCTGGGCCTCACGTTTGCTAGGCAGACCCTCTACTGCTTGAGCCACTCCACCATCCTTTTTTGATAGAGTACAAGAAAGCACTGCAAGGACTAAAAGCATGAGGTTTGAAATTGCTACTCTTAACAGTAATAGCAAGGCTGATTATTTACACAAAGCCTCATTTTCCTCAGTAGTAAAAGGTCCTACAATTAGAATTAAACGTTGTTGTGTAGTTGTTGAGTGTAGTTATTGTTACTATTTTTACTTTTCTTTCATGGAGTAAGACTGCTAGATATTTTAAAAGGCAGTGCATTTAATTATGTGGTGATTTTTATCTACTTTTTTGACCACCATATATTTATATTTATATTTGGTGGTGATGGTACTGGCTTTGAAGTCAGGGAACTAGAGAAGTTCTCTTATCACTTGAGCCACATCCCTGACCCTTTTTGCTTTAAGTTTATTTTTCAGAACTCATGCTTTTGCCTGGGGTCAGCCTTAGACTGCTATTTTTCTACCTCTGTCTCCCAAGTAGCTGGGATTTTAGGCTTGCACCACCATACTCAGCTTGGTTTTTGAAATAGGGTATTGCTGACAACCCCCACACACTCACCCTCTTGCCAGGGTGACCAAGATCCTGGAACCTGCTATCTCTGCCTTCTTAGCAGCTGGGATTTTCATGCATGTGTCATCATGCCCGGTTTAAATACTGATTCTTTAGTTTTACTATACTCTTACTCTTTGTAATGTATGAAGTTCAATATCCCTGACTCATTTTAACATATGTGCCTTTGAATTTTTTCTCTTAGATGAAGAAAAAAAGATGGTTGAAGAAGTATTTAGTAATGCAATTGACTGCTTGTCTGATGAAGATAAAAAGCTCCCTCAGGTAAGGTTTTTTGTTTTTTTTTTTTTTCATTTTTCTTTTATTATTCATATGTGCATACAAGGCTTGGTTCATTTCTCCCCCCTACCCCCTCCCCCTCCCTTACCACCCTCTCCCCCCCCCTCAATACCCAGCAGAAACTATTTTGCCCTTATTTCTAATTTTGTTGTAGAGAGAGTATAAGCAATAATAGGAAGGAACAAGGGTTTTTGCTGGTTGAGATAAGGATAGCTATACAGGGCATTGACTCACATTGATTTCCAGTCAGGTAAGTTTTTAATATGAGTAAGTATGGGTATTGTTAGGTAGCATATAAACTTTGCATTTCTTCATTTTATTATATACTGCATTGTTTGTGCATTGCAGTATATGTGTTGCCATATGTACTGACGTGACACCTGAATTTATGTTTCAAGCTGCTGAAAAGGTGACAGGAGGACTTTTCTCTAAAAGTTCTTATCATGGTCTTATTTCTGTATTACAGAAGTTTTGATGGTAGCTTTACATCATTAAATTTCTAAACTCATAAGAGTAAACAAAATAAATGAGTGTGCCTAATTAAAATTACATGTTTAGTCAGCACATATTGTCAAAAGTGAACAAAGTAGATGCTTTGCTTTAATACAGTGTATTTTTTCTTTGACTGTTGGAATTGCCTGGAGATTCTAAAATAAAAAGTTCGTACATGGGTACCACACCAGAGATTCTGATTTAATTGCTGTAGTTTGTGTCCTGGTTATTAGAATCATTGGAATGCTCCCTTTATGGTTGTGCTGTGCATCCAAAGCTGAGAATTTGGAGGTCATACTCTGAATGCTTTGATTTGTGAATGATTTACCATAAGACCACAGAAGCATGTTTTTTGACATCTAAGATATTTTCATTTATGATTGTTCTTAGTACTGAAGTGCTGAGCCATCTTTCTATACATCTGTATTGTCCTACCACATTTCTCTTTTTGTTTTGTGTTTTGTTTTTAGCACACTTCTAGTAAGTTTTTGATGGCATTTGGTAAATGTTAATGAGAATGAACTTTTACGTTATTCATTTGTTTTTTAACTGAGGCATCATTTAGGTTAAACTGTTTTTTGCAGTTTACTTATTTTCTTGAGTTGCCAGTTTATTTTGTTTTTGAAGACACCGGTCTTTTTTATGTTGCCTAGGCGAGCCCTGAACACCTGGACTCAAGTGGTCCTCTTGACTTAAGTCTCTGAGTAGCTGGGACTGCAGGCATAAACCACAGTCCCCAGCTTTTTGTTTTTTTTTTTTTTTTTTAAGAGCTATGTACATATTCTGGATATAAGTTTTCTATGATGTATTCTAATATTTCCTCTGCTTTCTAGATTTTCTTTGTAATGTTTTTTTAAAGAGAAGATTTTTGTTTTGATGGAGTCCCACTTACCAATTTTTTAAGAATAGCACTTTTTGTATAGTAAGAAGTACTTGCCCCATGTCTCAAATGGTTTCTTAAATATATCTAAATGTTTTATAGTTTTTTTTTCTTTTATTATTCATATGTGCATACAAGGCTTGGTTTATTCTCCCCCTGCCCCACCCCTCCTCTACCACCCACTCCCCTCCCTCTCCCCCCCTCAATACCCAGCAGAAACTATTTTGCCCTTATTTCTAATTTTGTTGTAGAGAGAGTATAAGCAATAATAGGAAGGAACAAGGGTTTTTGCTGGTTGAGATAAGGATAGCTATACAGGGCATTGACTCACATTGATTTCCTGTGCGTGTGTGTTACCTTCTAGATTAATTCTTTTTGATCTAACCTTTTCTCTAGTTCCTGGTCCCCTTTTCCTATTGGCCTCAGTTGCTTTTAAGGTATCTGCTTTAGTTTCTCTGCATTAAGGGCAACAAATGCTAGCTAATTTTTCAGGTGTCTTACCTATCCTCACCCCTCCCTTGTGTACTCTTGCTTTTATCATGTGCTCATAGTCCAATCCCCTTGTTGTGTTTGCCCTTGATCTGATGTCCACATATGAGGGAGAACATACGATTTTTGGTCTTTTGGGCCAGGCTAACCTCACTCAGAATGATGTTCTCCAATTCCATCCATTTACCAGCGAATGATAACATTTCGTTCTTCTTCATGGCTGCATAAAATTCCATTGTGTATAGATACCAACATTTTCTTAATCCATTCGTCAGTGTGGGGCATCTTGGCTGTTTTCCATAACTTGGCTATTGTGAATAGTGCCGCAATAAAATGGGTGTGCAGGTGCCTCTGGAGTAACAGTCTTTTGGGTATATCCCAGAAGTGGTATTGCTGGATCAAATGGTAGATCGATGTCTAGCTTTTTAAGTAGCCTCCAAATTTTTTTTCCAAGTGGTTGTACTAGTCTACATTCCCACCAACAGTGTAAGAGGGTTCCTTTTTCCCCGCATCCTCGCCAACACCTGTTGTTGGTGGTGTTGCTGATGATGGCTATTCTAACAGGGGTGAGGTGGAATCTTAGTGGGTTTTAATTTGCATTTCCTTTATTGCTAGAGATGGTGAGCATTTTTTTCATGTGTTTTTTGGCCATTTGAATTTCTTCTTTTGAGAAAGTTCTGTTTAGTTCACTTGCCCATTTTCTTTATTGGTTCATTAGTTTTGGGAGAATTTAGTTTTTTAAGTTCCCTATATATTCTGGTTATCAGTCCTTTGTCTGATGTATAGTTGGCAAATATTTTCTCCCACTCTGTGGGTGTTTCTCTTCAGTTTAGAGACCATTTCTTTTGATGAACAGAAGCTTTTTAGTTTTATGAGGTCCCATTTATCTATGCTCTCTTAGTTGCTGTGCTGCTGGGGTTTATTGAGAAAGTTCTTACCTATACTACTAACTCCAGAGTATTTCCTACTCTTTCCTGTATCAACTTTTTAAGAGTTGTGGTCCTTGGAATTTAAGATCCTTGGTTTTTCCCATTTTGATTAATCTTGGTAATTAGGGTGGATAGTACAATGGATCTAAGGTTTCCATTTTTCTTCCCAGCTTTTTTTATTTTATACTCTTATTTTCATAGCTTCTTTTTTTTTTTTTTAATTTAGGAAATGGTATGATACTAAAAAACTTTTGAGGAAGCAAAGTCTTTGTAAAATTTTATTTAATCATGCCAAAATGTTGAAGTGGCAAGCTAGGTCCATTAATTGTAATTTTATTCTGTGGGAATATGAATTTGGAGTTTGCTTTTATTCCTGAAGAAGTTTTTTTAACAGTGTTTTTCTTTCAAGACAACAAATTATTTAATTATCCACTTTCTCAATTTGCAATTTCTAAATTTTTTTTTCTCATATCATTATAAATGTTATTCCAAAATCACAGGTCGAACATGGTACTTCCTCTTTTTGAAGCGGGGGATTGGTATTACCATGGGTGGTTTTGCTCCTATTTTGAAAGAAAACTTAGAAATTCTCTTTTTTCTGAAGGATTGGATAAAAGGTATAATTTTTTAATTTTATTTATTTATGCCCAAAATACTATTGTTATGAAGGTATTTGAAAGTTATAGTGAACATTGTTTCTAAACAGTTTTGTTTTTATTTTGCAGTGCTAGTGATCCAACCCAGGGCCTTTCCCAAACTAGTTTGCAAGTGTTTCACCACCTAGTTGTTTGTGAGGCTTTTGTTTTTTAAACTAGAATGACAGTTTTTTAAACTAAGAATGACTTGTAATGAACTTGTTTTTTATATATGGTGGTATACTTAATAAATTTTAGTGAATAGGCTAAAAAGAATTAGTTCCTTTCTTAAAATAAGAAATGGTATTATTGGATACAGTAGAATTTTAGACAAGGTGCTATTTATTAGACAAGGTGTTTAACTGGACTTCTTCCTGAAGTAAAAGGAGTAAAAGGATTAGTTTAGAAGTGATAAGGTGAATTATCTGTTAGACTTAGAAAAGAGATTTTTAGGCTATGCTCACTGAACTCAAGGAGAGTCTAATTTTTTCAAAAATGACATGCCGATATGCAGAAATGGATGTTAAAAATGGGGAACAACTTCAAATTGTAATCATAAGCCTGTATCTTAGAGTTATTTTATTTTTTTAAACATCATTACAGTTTTAAAAATCTTTCACCAGATTTTTTTCTAAAAACCAAGGCTTAAGTAGCATTTTTAAAAGAAATGTTATTTTATTTTGGTGAAACTGAAGTTTCAACACAGGGCTTCAGGGCTTGCACGAGTAGTCCCCTTCCTTGTGGTTTGAAGGCACATCTCTAGTCCAATTTCTGCTCTGTTTTATTATGGGGAGAAATGGGTCTCATCAGCGTGTTGTCTGGGCCTGGGCCTCAAAAGCCTTAATCCTCCCAACTCAGCCCTCCCATAGTTAGCTAGGGATTACAGGCATGAGCCACCTGCATTCAGCCGAAGACTTAACTTTACAGGATCTTTTGTTAAACAATTTGAGTGTAAGTGTACTGCCTTGTAAAGTTCAAATAAAACAGTTGTACATAAAATAAAAGTGAAAGATCCTTCCCCTTCACTTCCCAGAAGTGTTCGTTCATACGATACATTCAAATAATACATGGATTCTTTTTTGTAGACATAAACCGATGATATAAATTCAACCCCAAGTTTCCACCGCCCAACATTTATTATATTACCTGTGTTACTGAATTTTTTTTTGTGGTTCCTCATTCGTTTTAATGAATGAATAGCATTCTTCTGAGTTGATAAAGTATTATCTTCTTTCCTGTCAGTGAAAATTTAGTATTTTAGTGGCTGTACATTACCTTTGTGTACCTAGGATCTCCTCAGGGATCCTAATGGTGAAGTACCCAAAACTGTTGCATTAGTGAAAAGCCAAGAAATTTGTCTGTGTTTAGAAAAATATTCACAGCCTAATGCCTTTTGGTCCTTTTAATTTTCAGTTATATTCTCTTTAGTTGCCAACTAAGAAAATTAAAGACTGTTTCCGCCCAAATAAGTAATTTAGGGGTATGCAAGGGACATTGAATCTTACTGAGTAATATTACGTATGAAATACTAGAATCCATCTGAGAATGTCATCTTAAATTAT